ATCGTCCAATTATTTGAAGAGTTATATGGAAAGAGAATAATTATATGGAAAGATGAGTGAGTATTCAGTAGTAAATAGTAACAAGTTTAAAGTTCAGTGAGCATTGGTTAAATTTACTGATGTGTTCAAATATCTAATAAAGAAAGAATTTGGCTAAATAAGAAAAATAAATAATTTATGCGGCCCGGCCCGAATTTACTCTCCTGTGCACAGCCCACTAGACATTAGTTCGACACACTTCGTGTACACTCCACCTGCTTTGTACTTCAATTACTTCTCTGTCTTGTATTTTCTGCTTCTTACCAAAACACAAGATACCCCTCACACAGCAGCAGCAATGGCGGAACCCCAATCCTTCAAACACGAGGACAAAATTTTGGCAAAAAACTCATCACAACAAGAAGAAGACAGCCATACCCAAGATAATCCCTTTTTATCTTTTCTCTCAAACATCTTTCAATTATTCAAGCCGTTTGCACCCAAGAAGAACGGTATTGTTGTTAACAATGTTTCAGAATCCGACCCGAATAAAATCGGGGCATCTGTGAATGAAACTGTGGTGGAAGATGGAAGTAAAGCCGCCGTTGTGAAGTTCCCGAGGCAGACCTTGGCTCCATTGAAGCTCGAAGCAGAAGCTGAAGGGGGTGAACAGAATACTAACCCGGTTATCTTGTGGCAGGTACTGGTATTCTTGGAAACTGAAAAATTTCTGGGCTTTTGAGGGATTTTAGTTTTATTTTGAAATCTTAATCGAGTTATCGAGTGTTATAGTATGTTGTGCACTGATTAATTGTAACTTTTTTTGGCCGAGATAATGCACACTCCATTTCCAGTATTTGCGTTGTTGAAATTTGTGGATATTTTAGAGTTTATCTTGGATTCACCATCAACAAAAGGTCAATGCTTGTACGTAGTTCATCAAATGCTTGTACTTCGCTTCGTACTATTAAGTCCTATTTTTATTTTTTATTATTATTATTTTTTTTTTTACAGATTTTTCCAAGGGTGGTAATTGGTTGCTATCGTGTTATTATCTTTTGAAAGTAATACACGATAATTTATAATCTAAAATTATGAAAAATAGAATTACAGTTTTTTAATGATGCATATGATGTACAACTTAAATAATTTGTTAGTATATTATGACGATACGTCAAAGATAATGATGAAATATCACTGGTGAAAATTCAAATGTAAAGTTTGAAGAATTAAGGCTCTTCATTTAGTAGGTAAAATATAATACTGTAAGCTCATTGAATTCTTCACGGGTTGAATATTGGGACTTGGCAGCTGTATCATGAAAATCTTATAATCTCTATTTTTATATGGTATGAATTTCAATAAGCATGAGAGGACTCATAAATTTTATTCTTTATGATGATTATGTTGATATCAGATTTTATTGTGAATTGGCAAGCTCTGGAACTTTTGAGGTTATTTTTTCAGAGTTAAGCCTTCGTGTCATAGGAATCATATTGGACTCCATTATTGATTTAGATTGAAATGTCACTTGGAATAGGTAAGCCTGCTTTTTGATTGATATTTTCCCAGTGGAATGAGATGCTGGCTCTATGTATGGGAGTCAATTGATGTGAAGAAATAAATTGTAATATTTCACTTTAAGATTGTACTCGAGCCCTTATAATGTTAGATTGAATTAACCCGAAACAATATACCTCCTCATAGAGCTATCGGTGGAAATTTTTTAAGGCACTCAATTTTCTGTACTATCTTTCTGGTCCCTTTGTCATAACAACCATTTGGATGAAAGCTTGTCGAGATGATGTTTCTATTGAGGCGAAAATTTCTCTGAAGCTATCCTCTTTGTGATGACAGTTTAATAGTACTTTTTACTGTGGCCCCCCTACTTTTATTCATTTTGCTAATGCCTAAAGATAACACAGATTATGGCAATGCTTATGGATCATAATTTTGGACACTCATTCATTTTCCAAGAGAGTGCTTGGTCATTCACATTATATAGATACATATAAGAAATAGAATTCACGAACAATGATTTTTCTGGTGGTATTAGGAGTTAAAGCTACCAGCCTACATCATTTTTACTTGATTAAAGTTTCTTTTGGAGGAACAATAGTTAGTGTAAACGATCACAAATATGGATAATTGAACAATAAATATTCTTAGCTAAAGTGTTGCAAGTGTTTGGATGATGAATTTAATTTAAATATGAACTTGATTGATCTTGACTGCACCTTTTCTGTTTCCATATAGCTTCACAAAGTTGACGACCCAGAAAGATGAATAAAACAAGACAAGCACCATTTTCATAGAAATTAAGAAGAAAAAAAATTGAAAGTTCAAGTTGCTTCAGTATGTCTACCAACTATGAGTGTAAACTCCACAATTAAGAGCTGACGAAAGACAAATACTTTATGTTGCAAGAACATAGACACGCGTGTTTGACATGACATGTTTACTAACACGTAGCGTATATGTTAATTTAAATTCTTTAAAATTGTTTTGTACTTTTTATCTTTTGATAAAATCAATTATTTAAACTACATAACTGTCATGGAAGGAAAATAACATATGCTAAAGGTCATGGAATGTCTGAGTGGTAGTGACGGACATGTCACAACATGTGTCGGACAGGGGCACGCAGCTCCAGTAGGAGTGTCTGTACACCATAGCCAATACTTCACCTTCCCTATTGTTTCGATTCAGAACATTCTCCTTTTAATTTCACATGCACTGTCTTTGGGTGGTTCAGGTTTATGCCATTGGAGGATTCTTCATATTGCAGTGGGCATGGAAAAGATGGAATGAGCATAAGGGAGATAAGAAGTCCAATGATGATCCTCCGCCAGCTCATGATTAATCTTTAACGATGACTTGTTGGATAGGGAAGTCATGGTAACTAGTTATCTGTGGTGTACGACAAATAGCTTGTAGTTCTTTGACTTTGCACCATGAAAATTTTAAATTTGGTCAGTGAATCACACGTCTTAAAGTTGATATATTGTTTCATATGCCTTTAATTTTGAGAATTGCCTTTGTATTTAGTTCTTAGTTTGTATTACTTGTTGGTATCATGTTACTCTCAATGTTTCAATTTTTCAAGAATAAAGAGCTTCTATTGTTGACGTTGAAGGTAGCATCTTTCTATTCAGAATTGTGGGTTCACAGATTCACACACACACACACACAGATACACACATACATACATCTTTTGACCTTTAAATCCCAAAGTCAAATTTTCTATAATGTGAAAGGAGTCTATGATTGTAGATTATCGCTACAATGTGATCCTATATACTCCAGGAAAACCATTGTTGGGATTATATCTTTATCCTGAAAATGACAGGAAAATGCTATAAGGAGAACTTTAAATGCCCATAAAATATGCTTGTTGAAATTTTCTTTATTCTAGTGGAAATGTTTGGGACATGGTACTGTTAAGACATGACCATGTTTGGACATAGTACTGGTTAGTACATGACAGTAAAATGGACAAGATTTGAACTTTTCTTCTTTAAGACTGTATTGTGCTGTTCAGACCTCCTTTCCAGACGCATAATAAAGGATTAAACTTACAGGAACAGAAAAGGGGGGAAGCAACTCATTAATTTGTCTTTCCTTACAATCTTGCCTCCTTGTCCTGGCATCAAAATATCTTTAGCATACAGAAACGCCATTTATACTTGTTGCATTGTAAGTGGAATATCCTTAGCATACAGAAACAACATTTATATGTAGTTGCATTGCTTGTATGTGAAAAATTATGTGCTCAAAACGACAATTGTTGACATGAGTTAGATTCCTAGGATTTGTTTTCAAGGAATGGATAGTCTGTGTAGCCAATGACAGGATCATGCGTGTAAAAGGTATTTCTATCATACTTGTTGAGTACCGAATTAAACTCAAATCTTCTTGGCAAATCTGGGTTAGCCAAGAACAGGCGCCCGAATGCAACAAGATCAGCACCACCCCTGCCGATAACTTCATTTCCATCATCCCTGTTGTATCCTCCTGCAACAATAAAAGTCCCTCTGAAAGCTTTTCTCATAGGCATTAGGTAGCTTTTAGTTTCCTGCTTGTCAAATTGTGTGATCATTCGTGGCTCAATAACATGACAGTACAGTATGCTGTGTTTGTTCAATGCCCCGGCCATGTAGAGGGCGAGGGCATCAGGGTTCGAATCTCCACTGTCGTTGTAATTGGCATAAGGTGAGAGCCTAATTCCAACTCTGTGAGCTCCAATTTCTTCCGCTACTGCCCTTACTATCTCTAATGGAAATCGACAACGATTTTCTATGCTCCCTCCATATTCGTCTGTTCTGTCGTTCACCTGGTCTTTCATGAATTGATCGACCAGGTAACCATTTGCTCCATGAATCTCTACCCCATCGAAACCTGTGAAAGCAGTCAAACGTTGACATATTTACTATTTAGGGAAACTGATTAATATAAATGGATCATTAGAGAGATATAGTTAAGAAAATACCTGCTTCAATGGCATTTTTGGCTGCCATTCTAAAATCACTGACGACCTGAGAGATTTCCTCTATCGTTAATCGATGTGGGGGTGAAAAATTTGCTCCTCCAGAACCATCGATGTGGTGCTCAACTTGAATGGCTTTGTCAGTACAAGAAATTGGAGGATCGCCATTAGGCTGGAAACCTTCAATTCAAGAATGAAAAAAGAGTTAATTTTGTAGCAGAAATTGTATAAATTTCCGTTTAATAAGGCTAAAACCTTGGATAAGAGAGAGAGGGTTTACTATAATTTGAAACTCTGCCGGCATGCCAAAGTTGGCAGAAGAATATACCCCCTTTCTCATGAACTGCTTTTACAATTGGCTTCCAAGCTTCTATCTGTTCTTTAGTCCAAATGCCTGGAGTATGTGGATACCTTCAAACAGGAAAATTAAACCTTGGAAACTGAGGATAAAGCATTTATAAACTCAGAAGTCAACCTTCAACTTGTCGAGTTCAAGAATCGTTACACCACACTGAATCCATCATATTATGCATTGAAATCATAAAAAGGGATGACTTTAACCTTCTTGGTCGAGCTTAAAAAAAGCTAAAAAGTTCTTTTTGTTCGGCATGCTGCTGAAAAAGCAAGCTTTTAAGCTTGGCCCTGTTCATTAAATAAAGATTACAGAACTAATTAAAAGTTGCAGTACAGAAAGTTACCCTTGAGCTGTCTCAGAAATTCCAGAGGCTTCACTGATCAAGAAGCCACCCTTTGTTGTTCTCTGGGAATAGTAAAGAATTCCCTGCGGTTGTGCAATAAAATTGTATGACCTCGCTCTTGTCATAGGGGCCAAAACTATCCTGCAAAACTTCAAAATTGGGTCAAGAATATCCAAAAAAAATTAAACTTCAAACTTTAAGCTGACAGTAGTTATATAGACAGTATAATGAATGAAATTTTAAATTTTTTCATACTTTTTAATGCACATTTCTAAAGATCTTTACATGTCCTCTTATATATACAATTAACCAAAAAGGGGAACGAATTTAGAGAGTTTAAGAATTTGTTCATGATCCAGAGAAAAATTGATGAGTTCTGATGAACTGATATATTGAAGATCACACACATATACACACGCTACGGATCTACACGCCTTCATAGGCGTTCTTTGACCAAAAACGGAGAACTAACCTTTGTGAAAGATTAAAATTGCCCATTTTGTATGGAGTCAAGAGGGGAATTGAAACCTTCTCAGTTTCCCTTATTTCTTCTTCCATGTTCCTTATCTGTGCAGTATTTCCCAATTAGATGGGCACTTGAAATACCGAATTGAACAAATATGATGGAGATATCTACTTGCCTCTTGACTTCTTTTATTATTCTAATTTGACGTGGAGAAATTATGGACGGAAACGCGTTTGTTTGAATGTGAAAAATGCATAAACATCGCATACTTTTGTTGTGATAATAATCCAAATGGTCACTTAACTTTGCAAAAGGTTTACAAGTGATCACTGAACTTTAAAAATCACCTCATTCGTTACTAAACTTTGCATTTTGCAATCTCGTTAGTCACTGAACTCAAATTCCATCCAAAAATTGTCGGGATGCTGATGTGGCTGCATATGTGACTTGACGTGTCAATTGTTGAGTGCCAAATCAATTACACACGTGGATTTTATTAATTAAAACGAGTGTGAACAAAGAAAAGAAAAGAAACAGAATTAACCCGTCTCTTGGAAGAAACTCCCCAATCTCCCACCTCCCTTCCTCCCCAACCACCACCAAATCAACCCACCCTCACCGCCGCCTTCCACAGCAACCACAACTCGCTACCGTCGCCTTCCCCACATCCCCGTCGTAGAAGTAAAACTACCCAGCACCACCAATGCAGCCACAACATAGCCTTCCCTTAATCAAACCTTAACCATAAACCAATAATCTCAGCCGTGACTGGAATGGAGCTTTGACATCGACCAATAATCTCAGCTGCTATATATTTTTATTTTTGAATTTGACTAACCATCAAATATAGGGAGCTCTCTTCATTGACAGTGAAAATTTGTAGAACACACGCAACCTTCCATATCCAAGAACCAGTAACACTAACATCGCCAGTGTAGAGGGAATCACTAGCACTGAGCACTCCCAGCATTTCCAAGGACCTTCATATTTATTCACTGTTCCAACCAAATCAAGCAATGGATGAGTTGATCTAAGCTGGAGAGTGCTGCACCTGTGCCACCAAACTTCAATGGTCTCCGTTTCAAATCCAGATTTGGTGGTGGGGGAGGGAGGAAGGAGATTGGGGATTTTCTTCCTTGAAACGAGACAGATGATTTGGTTCATAAAATCCACGTGTAGCTGATTTGGCACTCAACAATTGACACATTAAGTCAATTTTTAAACGGAATTTGAGCCTGGGGACTAAGGAGATTACAAAATGCAAAGTTCAGGGATGAATAAGGTAATTTTTTAATTTGAGGGACCTTTTGTGGATCTTTTGCAAAGTTCAGTGATAATTTAAGCTATTATCCCTCTTTTATTGTTCTTTATGAAAATAATATAATTACAGAAGAGATTGTTAATGTCCGTCAAAGATAATATTTCAACAAACACATGTAGCTCTTTGGAAAAACCTTAAAGCCCTGTTCAGTAGAGATTAAAATTAGATTTTTAACAAAGATTGATATAAGGTGATGGAATGTGTAGTTAAAAAATTGTGGATCATATAATTATTGACTTTGACTTAAATTTTAATTAAAATTTTAAATGATACCAAATAGGGGCTAAGCTTCTAAATGAAACGGTTGACAAGCTATAGTATGGCAAAAAATTAATTTAAATCTCGCTGCATTCCATTTAAGAAAATTGTGCACTTATCAAACTTTTATTTGAAAAATAATTTAATTTGATAGTTTATAAGCGTTGAAGATGTGATCTAAAAAATTACACGTGGCTACAGTTTAGCCATTTTTTAAATGAGATAATTAGTAAAGTCAATGTCCATTTTAGAGAATAAAATAAACAGAAAGCAAATGTTGAGAAAGTAGCATAAAATATGCATTTAGTAATTAAGAGCCTGTTTGAGCCCATTTTCGATGAAGAATGCATTTTCGAACAGTAGAATGAATGAGAATTTGTAATTAAAAATTAAAGAAACTTTTTGAATTTACATATAATATTATTTTATGAAGAATATGTAGTGAAAAAGAATATGAAGAAAAACGTATTTTAAAATAATGGGAATTAAACAAGGGCTAAATAGTCTAGTAAGATTCGATGCATTGTTCATTATTCCATTGTTTAACAAAAAGAAGCTAATCACATCTTATAAGATCACACATGAGGGAGTTGACATCTACACTCAATAATAATGATCAACTTTATTCGCGGAAATAATTTATGATCTTAATAATAATATTCTATGATATGTAGTGCTATCCAATAATAGCTTAGATGCGTTAAGAAAATTCAATATAATTTTTCAAACATCCGTACGATTAAAAAAATTAAACTACCAAAATTATGAATTTATGGAGTGTATCTACATCTTTTGTCTCCATAAACAAGCTACGGACAATAAAACACATTTAATACGTAATATTGAACAAGAAAAATGTTATTTGCATTCGCTCATTATCGCAGTCGTTCTACGTGGTATACATATGACGGTTTAGTGATTTGTTGTATAAGGTAATAAAAAATTATCGCATTAATGTATCAAATAACTAACCGTTAAATGTATGTCATATAGGACGACTACGACAATGAGCGACTGCAAATAACATTACTTATTGAACTAACATAACTCGAAAAAAGTCTTTAATACTATTCAATTTAATAAACCTTATTTATTACGAATTATTGATTCAAAATATATTTGTAGATGGTAGTTGAAGGACTAGAGAAAATGTAGATAAGCCCTATGCCAAAAACAATAATAAAGTTGGTTGTCTAGTCAATTCAAGGACCAAAATAAGGAAAGAATTTCGCTTTGTAGTTACTTTATAACAGTGTTTTAAAAAGAGTAAAGCGTGACCAAATGAGAGACGAAACTTCAAGTTTAAGCGAGCCTAGGTGAGATTTAAGCATAAATTTTTTTTTCTTATATATGATATTATTTTAAATTTTAATTATTTTAAAATTATTTAATAATTAAAATAATACACATTAAACATCTCAAATTATAGAATACAATATTTACTTAATAACTCCCACCATTAATCAATATACAATTTTCAAGTTTTTCAAATGTAAGGATTATAATATGTTTCATAGTTTCAATTTTCAGTTAGACAAATCCTACTTAATAGGTTTATAAGAACTTCATAGATGCTTTTGGATTGTAATAAAATGAGTCTCAAGATCATAATTACATAATGTAGATAACATCATAATTTAAAATCTTATTTAACTATTTAGATAAAGTCATTTTTAAGTTTTGTACAGATAAAATCTTTTAGAAACTTGAAATTAAAGTCAAATGAAAGTTTTTTTTTTAAATAATAAGCTAAAGTCAAATAAAAGACTTTAATAACAAAAAAAAAAAAAAAAACTAATAAAGCATGTCTATGGAAAACGAAAAAAATAAAGAAAAAAATTCAGCCATTTAGGAATTGGAAAAATAAGCGACGAGGCGCAAAGCCAGACCTTTTGCCCAAGTTTCGAGCCTAAGCAAGCTTTTTAGAATACTGCTTCGTAATATTTTGTAAGTCTTACCTTGTTTGATATCATCTTTCCAATGACAAAGTTGCACATTCTTCATTCCGAGGTAAAAATAATTAATTTATTTTTTTTCCATCAATTTTAAATTTAATAATTTTTTAATAAATTACTATAAACATAGTTATTAGACCCCATTTCCCAATTCAATGGATTAATGGTTTAACCGATGGGTCGATGGTTCAATCGGTGGATTATTGTTAGACTTTAATTTTAATTAATTATATTTTTGAAAAGAAAAGAAAACCATTTTGCTAAACCTGAATATATATATTTTGCTTACCTTATAAGACAAGACAAGGTAATATCAATTTCCATAATGGTTAAGCCCCCCGGGGCACATTCAAGTTGGCGGAACAATCACATTGGGGGGCTCTGGAACCAAGCGTGGGGAGTTCGATTTCTGGAAGGCACAACTTGGAAAGCAAGATTTATCTTGGAAGACAAGTTGCTGTAAGGCAGTGAAGAGGCTCCCTTTGGAGAAGGAGTAAAAGCCGTGTAGGAACTTGGGAACCAACAAGGGCAAATCCCGCGATTTACCTCCCTGAGCTGCTGAGTGGCCAGAGGTTCAGGGACGAGGATATAGTCTGGCGCAAACTGGGACACCTCGTTAAAAAAAATAAATAAAATTTCCATAATGGTTAGGGGGGTGAAATGTCGTACTGCCATATTCGAATCATGGAATCATTGCTGTGAATTTAATATGTGAAATTTTTACTGTCCCTTTGATTACCATCTGGTTCATATTGAACCAGATTCGATTCTACATAAAAATGGATTGTTATTGAGTGATTTAACCGGTCTTTGATCGGTTTCTATGCTTCCTATATCAATTGATGCACACGGATCGAACCACAGTTCGGTTCGAAGGTTCACGATTCAGACCGATGGCCTGGTCCAATTTTTATAACTGTGACTATAATAGTTGTCAACTTGTTTTCATACTTTGAAAACATCATATAAATAAGTTATTATCAATATTTTCAAATATATCGTTCTCGATATACATAATTGGATTATCATTCAATTATCGATCTCCAATTCAACTGCATAGTTGATTCTTGACAATTTTCATCGAAGAAAATCCTTTTTATAGTGTAGTAGCGACAACTCGAATAATTCATGCTAATGTTAAAGTAATGAGTACACTTCAATTTTTTTTTTTTTTTTGTTACAATAAATTTTTGTGCAAGATCCTTCAAAATCTTTGTTGGTGCATATATAAAAAATATAGGTCTCAAGTTTTTCATCAAGGTCTCTACTGATATAAAATTCTGAGAATAATACTCGCACAATTGCGATAAATTTGTTCTTACTGAAAAAAAGATATTGAATTATTCAAACATGAACATGCAATACAAATTAATAAGTTGTTATTTACCTCTGAATTTCGATCATTTAACTTGTGAAGTTGCATATCGATGGCATCATAAACGAATGTCACACGGAAGTAATGCAAATTTGTCTTCTTTGAGTGTTATGTCGTGAACAACCTAAAGATATAAACATTTCATCCATTTTGAGAACATAGTTACTGTCATGCCTTTTCCAAAAAATATGAATTGTTTTAAGAAAAAATCTCATCAATTGTCCCTCATTTCTTGAGCATAATTTCACTAACCTGACATTAACAATATCTAGGTATTTTGTTTGTAATTCTTTCGAT